GAGATTGGGATTTTTGTCCTCTTGGCATTCTGTGCTTTTGGCTAGCAGTAAAATCGGTGCTGGAGCTGAGAGTTGCTTCAGGAGATAAAAAAAAAAAATGCCTTCCTCACTCTCTGTTCCCTCACTGCATCTTTTTGGGTGTCCCAGGTCTGTCTCTGTAGGGTTGAGCTGCAGGGGAAGGGGTTTCATGAGAAACCTTGTGGAGCAGGGAGGAGAGGAGGGAATGGTGAATCTCAAAACTAGGCAGCACAAGAAACTGCCTTCAACTTTGTGTCTCTTCCCAGTTTGGAATATTTTTCCCCTCTCCCACACTGTAGGGTGTGAGGAAGTCACAGAGTGAACCCTCCAAAGGTGGAGAGCAGTTGGGAGGATCCTGGAAGGGGGAGGAAGAGGAGGGAGAAGTGGAAGGGTTTGAAAGAAGAAGTTGGAAGAAGTGAATGGGGATTAAAAAAAAGAGGAAGGGGTGGGAAGAGAAAAAAGATCAGAAGAGGAGGAAGGGATTGAAAGAGAAGGGTGGAAAAGGAGGAATGGGGTCAGAAGAAGATGGAGTTGGAAGAGGAGGAAGGGGTTGGAAGAAGAGAATGGGATCAGAAGAGGATGGGGGAGGAAGAAGGATGGGGGAGGAAGAAGAGGATGGGGAGGAAGGGGTTGAAAGAGGAAGCTGGGAGAAATGAATGGCAGATCATTTCTGAAAAAGAGGAAGAGGAGAAAAACCAGAAGAGGAGGAAGGGATTGAAAGAGGAAGAGAAGGGTTGAAAAGGAGGAATGGGGTCAGAAGAAGATGGAGTTGGAAGAGGAGGAAGGGGTTGGAAGAAGAGAATGGGATCAGAAGAGGATGATGGGGGAAAGGGTTGAAAGAAGAAGCTGGGAGAAATGAATGGCAGTTCATTTCTGAAAAAGAGGAAGAGGAGAAAAACCAGAAGAGGGGGAAGGGATTGAAAGAGGAGGAAAATGGTGGAGGAGGAATGGGGTCAGAAGAGAATGGAGGTGGAAGAGGAGAAAGATCAGAAGGGGGGAAGAGAAGGAAGATCAGAAGAGGAGGAAGGGATTGAAAGAGGAGGAGAAGGGTGGAAAAGGAGGAATGGGATCAGAAGATAGAAATGGAAGAGGAGGAAGGGGTTGAAAGAAGAGGAAGAGGGTGGAAAAGGAAGAATGGGGTCAGGAGAGGATGGAGTTGAAAGAGGAGGAAGGATTGGGAAGAGGAATAATGTGTTTGAAGGTGATGGGATCAGAGCAGGATGGGGTTTGATCTGTAGCTCCTCAGCCTCTGGATTGCTCTGCAAGCGTGATGTAATTGAGGCAGTTTCTGTTCGGGATTAAAGGCAGGAAATCCCATTTACACCTCTGGCAGGAACAGGTTTTCCATTGGGAAGGAAAATGCAGTGGGAAGATGGAAATACCATAACGAAAGTGCTGGCTCTGGGAAAGGCATTGTGTGCGCTGGGATCTCCCCCGCCCGTGGGGCTGCAGCTGATGGTTTTCCGTGGATTTCTGCAGACAAAAAGTTAATCCCGTGCCTTTGTGACATCCATGGGAGGATCTGTGAGTGGTTTACAGGGCTCCAGCCACGTCTCCCAGCCCCCACGGCGAGGCTGTGGCTGTTGGCCCAGTTTTCCATCATCGTGGAAATTATGTCACCCACATCCCTGGGCAGTTGGGGTGCAGCTCTGGGAGAAACTGGGTTGGGGGGAGAGCGGGTTTAAAACCATTTGGTGGGGGATTTGGGAGCATTCATCAGCATTTTTATCCCTCTGCCACTTTCCTTGACCGCCTCTTCCCAGATATCTGCCAGGATACAAACCAGACCCTGTTCAAACCGTGCCAGGGCTCTGAGGAAGTTCCCTGCAACAAACCCGTGCCCGTGAGCCTCTCAGAGGAGCCGTGCTGCCCTCTGCACCTCCGTTTGCCCCCTCAGATGTACGTCCCCGAGCAGGTCCTGGCTGTCCCCCAGGAGCTGGGAGCTGCTCCCTCCGATCTGTACCTGAGCGCGGCCGAGCTGCAGCCCACCGAGAGTTTGCCACTGGAATTYAGTGATGTAAGTGGGAGAGCYRCCCCTCTGCYCTCCTGARAGCYCACCTGGAGTGCTGCTTCCAGGTCTGGGGTCTTCAGCACGGGAGGAGCTGATGGAGCGAGGCCAAARGAGGYCAYGGAGATGCTCCAAGGGYTGGARCACCTCTGGAGAAARCCAGGGATGTCCAGCCTGGARWAKRATCCAGGGAYACTTTTTAGAGTCCCTTCCAGTGCCTGAAGAGAGTTGGAGAGGGATCTGGGACAAGGGATGGAGTGCCAGGATGAGGGGGAATGGCTCCTCAATGCCAGAGGCAGGGCTAGGTGGGATATTTGGAATAAATTCCTCGCTGTGAGGAAGGTGAGGCCCAGAGGAGCCATGGCTGCCCCATCCCTGGAAGTGTCCAAGGCCAAGTTGGAGCAACCTGGAATAGTACGAGGTGTCCCTGCCCATAGCAGTGGGTAGAAATGGATGATCTTTACAGTCCCTCCCCATCCAAAGCATCCTGGGATTGTGTGAAATGTGAATTCTGTGAAAATGCAGGAATGTGGAAGGTTTGGGAGCTGTTCCAGGATTGGTGGCTGCTCCTTGGGAATGGCCGTGCTCATTTAAATCCCTTTAGGWGGCCTCTGAAAAAGAGGATTTCCGCCCCCCCACCACCACCAATTTTCTCTCCCATGAGGAAAACATGAAGATTTTAATCCCCAGATTATTCTGGMATCCTGCATTTAAGCCACCAGACTTCAAAAGCCTCAGCCATGCGTTGAGCCAAAACCAAAGCACCACGCAAAATCAACCCACCACTATCCATGGGAGCGAGGTGTCCCCTCAATGTTTGGGTGCTC